CTCCTCTTCTATCTGACCCTAGCTTATCAGGTCTCATCAAGGCTGGCTGCATCATCATCCTCTGTGGCCTGGCAAGGCTGCACTCCCCAGGGAAAGGTGATCAAAGAGCCTGCCACTGAGTTCATGTCAGAGATAGTCCCTGTACCCCTTACTAGGGAACTCACTTGGAAACTGAGCAGCCAACAGGCTTCCTTTGAACAGGGCATCTAGGTATTCTCCATGCATGGTCCTTCATTGGAGTATCAGTCTATCCTGGCCACCCTGGGCCCAGATGTTTTGGCTCTGTTGTTCTCCTTGTGGAGTTTCTGTTCTCTCTAGGTCTTTCTATCTCCCTCTTTTTCCATAAGGATTCCAGCACTCTGCCCAAAGTTTGGCTATGAGACTCAGTATCTCCTTTGATACCCTGGTGGGTAGAGTCTTTCAGATGTCCTCTGTGGAAGGCTCTTGTCCTGTTCCTTGTCTTCTACTTCTGATGTCTATCCTGTTTGCTCTTCTGAATGAGGATTAAGCATTTTCCCTTCCCAACAAGGGTCCTCCTTGTTGTTTAGCTTCTTTCGGGCTTTTATAAAATAAATTTAAGAAAGTAAATTACATTGGAAAATTACAACAATCCAAAGAGCTATTGTTAGCATTTTGCTATTTTGCTCACCATTTTGAAGTTTTTTAGAAATTTCCCTTCTTCTTTTCCTCCTCATTCATCTTCCTTCCCTCCCCCTGCCTGTGTGTGTGTTGTATTTGTCCGTTTGTGGACTAGGCTGGCATTGAACTTGTGGTGGTCTTCTTGCCTCTGCCACCTGATTACAGCTGTGAAAGCCTCCACCCCAGGCTCCTTTATATGTCTGGTCTGTATTTACTCTCCCATCAACTTTTAGTAGATCATGAGTGGCAAGACACATTAAATGGTGACAATGACTATTACAAACAGCACATTTCACTTTTATTCTGTATTTCATAACCACATAACCCTCGCCGACACTAGCATCTTTACTGGTATTTTTTTTTTCTGCCAATAAATGAGATAGGTTGTTCTAGTTCCTGTACCCAGCACCCAAGGTGGTCTAGTAAGTACAGCAAATGCTATTACTCATTTTCACTGAGATTCTGAAAATTGGAAAATTGTCTTTTCCAAATCTGAATGAAAGTTATAACCAAAAATGACACATATTTGCTTTATTAGTTTTTCTTGACTTTATTTTTAACTCATGGAATCAGAAAATCATTTGATTTAGCCACTGACAAGAGTTCAGTTTACAGCATAGTCCGAAGAACAACTCACCTACTAACACTTGGCCTTCTGCTTCCATGGGACCTGTATAATCTGGCCAGGGAACCTCCCAGCTTGCCAGTGGCCATTCCATTCTGTTAGAACAAACACAGTGACAGTGCAGACCTTCTTTAACTTTACTTTGCCAAAGTAAAAGCCTGTTGGGTCTTCTTGATCCATGGGTAGATGAGCAAAGTTTTTTTTATTTAATTCACTTCAAACAGCTTTTCTCTGAAAGTGTTTTTTCTACTATTCACTGCGAGGCTGGAGGAACTGTGTGGAGAAACTTCATGTCTACACCCAAGAGTAAGCCAGTGGGTTCTCAGTGCTGGACAAAGGCTGTACCTAGCTGGCTTTCAATCAGAAACTCTGTGATTCTCAACCTCTCTCACTCTGCTCTCTTTTATGACCATAGGCTATCTAATTAAACTTTCTATGCCTCACTCTGCTGAGATCATCTAACACTTTGGAAGTCATCAGAGACGCTGAAGAATAGTACATCTGTTAGCATACAGAAAATGCTTCACAGTCCTTTGGGGAAAAATGTATTGTATATAAATTTGATATGTGGGCAGTGTTTGAATGGGACATTGAGCTCTCATTTCAATACATTAAATTGATAAGGATATGGTGGTGAGCTCAATGTGGTCTCCTTGCTATTACTTTTCATTCTTTATAACTTTTTTGAACTTTGAACAGGAAAATTTGATTTCACTTTGGCAAATAAGGTTATGAGATTTTTTTTCTTTTTATTACTATTTTTTTCAAACATATAAAGGTAAAAGGAATAGTCTAATAAACCCTCATGGGCTACAACCCAGCTTCACAGATTATTAACATTCTATTATAATATTTTAAAAAGCTATGAAATTATACCAGTGAGCACAAATCTGGCTCATTATTAAAATGAAATTTTATGAAAAATAGGATGAAAATTAGCTCTTGCTATTCAATGTGCCAGTAAACATTTACCAGTGAAAAAATTCAGATTAAAGAGAATACAGTAATTTAAATTTTCAGTTCTTAAGTCGATATTGAAAGGTTTGAAGGTTTTTTTGTTGTGTTTTGTTTTTGTTTTTTGAGATAAGATCTATGTAGTCCTGGCTATTCTGGAACTTGCACTATGTAGACAGACTGGCCTTGAGCTTACAGAGATCCACCTGCTTCTGTGTCACTACACCTGGCCTGAAAGTTTTGAATGTTTTAAGGATAGGTAAAACATAATATTTGCTAAAAATTTGAAATTATTCTTTATGATAATTTTGACTCAAACCAAAGGTTAAATTTTACTATATGACATTTTCCTTTTCCTTAAGCGAAGGAGCCATGGAATGAAGAGTAAGTTGGAAAATATTCAAACATTAAAATTATTTAAAAAAATTAAAATTCTTGTTATTACTGTTATTGCTGTAGGTGTGTGGAAGCTGAGAAAGTGGACAACCATTTGAGTATGGGAAACTTCCTCCTATTCTCATTGTCTGAGAAGTGCTAACATGTGAATTATTGACGATGCTTTGATGGCTAGATGTTCTCCCAATTTAGTCTCACGGTATTTTTCCATGTGATTTAAGCTACCCAGATGGTTTCTCTCCAGTCGAATGCCTGGAATTCTCATGTAGTATTTAGAGCCTCTAGGACCTGAAGACAGAAGTGATTAGGTCTCCCTGTGTCTTACCATTAGAATTAACACACTTCTGTCATATTCCTTTGGTTAAGGGAGGTTATTATAGGCTGGCACACGTTAAAGAGGAGATACTATATAAGAGCAGAAATAACCAGACTCTATCAAGTCAACCATTACCACCAACTTTGTGAGATGATGTCATGTTAGAATGTTTCTGGATGCAGTGTATGTATGAATTAAAGCATTGGCTTACCATATTGACGCTAAAAGAGTGCATTCAGATCATATCTTTGGAGACCAAAATGAAGCTGTACTCATGTTTAGGTTTCAGGTGTGTGTCTAAGTTTCTTTACTATTTACACTGATAAGCAACTGTGACAAAGCAACTTAAGGGGAAAAATGTTTCTTCAGCTCATTGTTCTGGGTCACAGTCCATCACAGCAGGGATTAAGGAAGTATGTCTAATGGGATTCACAGTGCTCACAGAAGTAGAGAGCAATTAATTAATGCATACATATGTGTGCTCAGCTCTCTTTCTTCAGAATCCTCTGCCTAGGGAATGCCGGTACCCACAGTGGAGGGGGCTTCCCACCTCAATCAACATAGCCAATATAATCCATCTTAGACATGCCCACAGGCAACTGTCTCACCAATCTTTTGTTGAGCTTTCCTTTCCAGGCAGAATGTTTGTAGTAAAAATTAATGGAAAAAAGAGGCAATGAACTTGAAAGAGAGCAAGGAAGGGCATATGGGAGGACTTGGGGGTAGGAAAGGGAAGAGGGAATGATATAAATTATAATCTCAATAAGTGAAGCAATTTGAAAATCAAAGAGCTGACATCATAGCATGCATTGTTAAAAGCTTATATTAGTGTTTGACTTTTCTACTAACTTGAAAGTTTATTCTCAAGATGAAAATATTAAAATACTAAGTGACAATACTGTATTCTGACCTTTCAGGTGGAAAAAAAAACTAGGATTTTCTTTTTGAGTATCTGTGTAGACATTTTGATACGTAAATGATGGAAATGGGGGTGGGGCAAGAACAGCATAGTGGTTTGGTTTTGTTTCTAAAGAATTTGGAGCTCATGTCCAAATGTGGAGATTTGCCACTATGAGTTTTCTCACAACTGTATTTTATCCATCTTAGAGCAATAACCGGATTACGACTATCACAGGTCTGGAGGGGCTGAAAACCTTGCAGAACCTGGATCTGTCCCACAATCAGATCAGTAGCCTCCAGGGCTTGGAGAACCATGACCTCCTGGAAGTGATCAACCTAGAGGATAACAAGGTAGGTACCGTGGGGCCTGGCTTCAGTGGCTTTAGGAAGTGGGCACATTGGAGAGTTGGCACAAAGACCCCTTATTAGCTTTTCAAGGATGTTACATGAAATGGCCTTTTAGGAATGGTGCTCTAGCAAGCTTCCTGGGACAGTTCTTAGAGTATGACTTTTTGAAAAAGCACACTCATTAAACATTTGATAATTCTTAATTGCATTGCTTTGAAGGTTCAAACTGTCATCATGTGTGTGTGATTTTTCTGGAGTTGTGTTCATGCAACATTTTTTGTAGAAAGATAGCATCAGAAATATTTGAAATATCAGAGCAAGAACAGGCAAGAAAATATCCATAGGCTGATATCTCCTCTACACTTAGAGAAAAATGACTGTTGGTGGAAGAGGCTCGTGGGTCACTAAAAGGAATACAAAGCTGCAGTTGGAGGCCAGGCAGAGGGATATAGTCAAAGGGCCATTTATGCTGCTAATTGGAGTAAACAATGAGTATGGATTTGGGGGAGGGGTAGTGGATGTTGAAACAGGGTCTCATGTAGTCTAAGCCAGCCTCCAACTTGCTATATACCCAAAGCCAGCTTTAAACAATTGATCCTCCTGCCTCCACCTCCAAAGTGCTAGAATTTATAGACATGAGCCACCACAAGTTAGCAATAGCAGTGTTGAAAAATGCTGGGAATGGGTTTTTGTCATTCTTATCACAAAGATGATTAACTTTAGAAAATAATACATTATTAGCTATATTTAGCCTTTCCAAAATATACATATGTCTTAGTTAGGGTTTTTATTGCTATAACAAAACACCATGATCAAAATGCAAGTTGTGGAGGAAAGGGTTTATTCCAGTAACATTTCTAGATCCATAGTCCATCATTGGAGGAAGTCAGGACAGGAACTCAACCAGGCTGAAATTTGAAAGCAGAAGCTGATGCAGAGGTCATGGAGGGGTGCTGCTTACTGACTTACTTCTCCTGGCTTGCTTAGCAAGTTTTCTTATGGAACCCAGGACCATCAGCCCTAGGTGGACTGGGCCTTTCTTCATTGATCACTAATAGAAAAAATGCCTTATAGCTGGACCTCATTGAGGCATTTCCTCAACTGAGGCTTCTTTCTCTGTGATGACTCTTGCTTATGTCATGATAGGCAAAACCATCCAATACAACATATATTTCAAAACATCATCTGTACATATTAAATATATACAGTTGTGGCTGTAATTTAGTAAATGAAAATACCACAAGAAAGGCTTAACCATAAAAATTAAGCAAAGAGACATAGAAGTGATTCCTTATACACTGTTAGTAGCAATAGTTTCTCTTTGATGGGTTAGGGAATGAAGTTGTTTACATATCTGACTTAATATACCATTTACTGTCAAAATTATATTCATATTCTCTCTCTTTCTCTCTCCCTCCCCACCCCTCAGTGATGCTGGGGACTGAACCCTTTGAATGCTCTACCACTGAACTATATCTTGAGCCCCAAATTAATTTACTTACTTCCCTTAATTTAATTACTTGATTTCTTCCCTTTCTTTCTCCCTCCCTTCCTTCCTTTCTTCTTTAGTCCTTCTTTCATTCCCTTCTTTGCTTGCATAGTACTGGGCCTTGGATATGGTGCTCACAAGCCCTATGACTGAGTTATATTCCAAGCAACTTAACCCTTCCCCCCACAAGCTTGCATTATTCATTAGGTTGTAAACAAATCAACAAAAGTCAACTATTAAGATCTGAGAACAATTTTAATTTCAATCTTAGACAAGACTGTTGATATTCATCTCACTTGATCTGAGTAGATTTAGTGACCTCTTATAAGGTAATTAATTCTGCTAGATGACCTTGGCTTATATACCTGTACTGTAGGAAGTCAGAACAATTTCTGTTCCAAATGGCTTTCATGTCCTTTTTATGAAGTTACCATTGAAGATTGACTGAAGACACATTTTGTGCTTAAAATGGTTCTCATATACTCACAGCCAAACTTTGGGCAGAGTACAGGGAGTCTTATGGAAGAGGTGGGGGGATAGAAGGACACAGAGGGGACTGGAGCCCCACAAGGAGACCAACAAAGTTGAAAAATCTGAGACAATGTAGTCCTGTAGCAACTGATGTACCAACCATGGACCATGCATGGAGAAGACCTAGATCCCCTACTCAGACATAGTCGATTGGCAGCCCAGTCTCCATGTGGGTTCCTGAGTAAGGGGAGCAGGGCTGTTTCTGTCATGAACTTGGTTGCCTGCTCTTTGATCATTTGCCCCTGGCGATGAGGCCTTGCCAGGCCACAGAGGAAGAGGATCCAGGCAGTCCCAATGAGATTTGATAAGCTATGGGTAGATAGCAAAGGAGAACTACTCCTTTCAGTGGACTAGGGGAAGGGGATGGGGGGAAGAGGGAGGGAAGGTGGAACTGGGAGTTGTTGAGGGAGGGGGCTTCAATCGAGATATATAATCAATAAATTGTAAAAAAAAAGTGACAGTTCATAGGTCAAAAAATGCTTCTCATATCTATACAGGTGATGCTGAAAAGGTAGAACATGCTCATTACATACCAACTCACTACATCTCATAATTCAAGACCAGAAGTAACAGCAATGCTGATAAAACAATTATAGTAGATGAAAATCTAGGGCCATCCCTTTAGAAATGGGTGTGGGGTAGTGCTTGAGAATGTGAGGCTTGGTTGTGAGCCATGAGCTTCATGTAAAGTGACTAGCACTAATGACAGGAAAGAAGAAAAAGTCAATATTAACTTTAATAATATACATTATTTTATTTATGTGATAGTTGGAGTGCATCTCACTTCCTTTAGCCAGAATGAAGGTCTAGAATCACTTTACAAAGCGTATATCACTCTCTTGATTTTCAAGTCACTTTCCAAACTGCATTGGAAAAAGTTGAAAGAAAAAAAGAGGTGTGTTCAAATAAAAAAGGGGGTTCATAATTTTCAACTGTTAGAGACTCCATTTTGTAAAAAGTGGCCACATGTTCTACAGGGGACTGATTCCTTTGGCAAATCAATCTTTGACTTTGTTCCCTGGTTCCCTACTGGGCATGTTGGGTAGTAGCCTGAAATCTTTTGAAATGTTGTTTGAAACACCTGAAGAGTCCATAAAGGGTTTCTCCAGGACGGTTGATAATTCTTTGATTCAGGGATGGAAGTGAACTTGTAAAAGGAGCACAATGTAGGTATGCTAATTCGACATTAGACGTACTGTTTTCTTGGTAGCCATTTTATTAGTTACACCCGAGTATGCTAACGTAAATATCCGCCCTTTGCCAGTGTTTACTGTTTGCGGATTAAAGAGCCCTCTGCCAGCGTCTACTCTGCAGTCCGTGTAACATTCAAAACCATGGGTAGCACTTAAAAACTGACCCAAACTTTCAATTCTACTCGAACCTTGCGGTTCCCTCTCAGCACTCAGCAGCGACTCAGGCTACTTCTAAATCTTGGTGCTATACCTCAGAGTTTGTGTGTGTTTGGGAGTCGGGGGTGGTGTTGTTTTTCAAGACAGGGTTTGACTATGCAGACCTGGCTGCTCTAGAATTTGATTTGTAGATCAAGCTGGCCTTAAATTCATAGATCTGATGACATCTGGGGTTAAAGGCATGCACTACTATGCCTGGCTTATACCTCAGCATTTATTATCAGTACTTCTTGCCAGTTTTTTTTAAGGAGTAACAATGTATACTCATATAACAACAGATGCAAAGAAAGAATTCCAGCCCTAAGTACCCACAGCTCTGCTAACCAGTAGTCTTCATTGTTACCCTGCTCTGGATGTTCTCTCCGTGCGGGTGGGGGTGGCAACAGCTAAGCATTCTTGTAATGCTTTAGATGGGGCATGTTCAACTATGAAGGATTTCATGCTTCTTCTTGTTCAGAGATACACTCTTTAATGTCTCATCTTAACCTTCTTGGATCCTGGTTTCATACTTTTGTTCATGTGTGTGAAGAAAAAGAATTTGTGGGGAGTTGACTGCTAAGTGAACTTGATCTCTCTCAGGATTTCCATTTATTAGACTTGAGGAAGAGTTGAATACAGCATATTGGGGGGCTCCTGGGTTATGCAGGGGCCAACACTGAAGCAGAGGCAGCCTGGGTGGAGCTATTGGAGATGTTATGATTACATCACTGTTACAGTCAGTCTCTGTTCCACTCCTGCCATTGGGTACAAGCAAGGAGGAGGACCCCTTGGAAGCTTGTGGTCTATACATCCAGAAAGGCCAGCCAAGGCTAGCTAGCCTGAGTGTATCCAATCATTAAAGATAGTGGAGAATGTCCCTGGGTCTCTGCAGAGTGCTAACGGGTGCTCACTGGCAGCCTTGATTCTTAAGCTGCTTTGTTGCTCCTTTGGTACTTGTTGAGCTTTCAGGTCAAGACTCTTATGACTTTCTCTTTAGTCATGGCCCTTAACGTAATGCCTACGCCATAGCAGCAAACTTGGTCTACTTCTTAGACTACACTATGGAATTGGAGTAAATCTGCTAAAGACGTTAAGGACTTGAGGCTCTCAGTGTGAAACAGAAGATCCATTATGGTCAGTTCATATAACTTAGGGCAGAGACAGTACACTTAGGAGTGAGAAAGGGGCCACGTGCTCTTTGGTTAGGGATTTGGAGGGCAGAGTCTCATTTTCTTCCTGTCTGGTTCATACATTGGTCTCTCTGGCACTCCCACTGTGTTCTTTGCGCTTCATTGTTAGTGCTCCTTGCTGCTGCAGATCATGCTTTATACTTTCATACTTTATATCTTGAAGAGCTATATTCTTTCCCTCTAGGACAGTGGTTCTCAACCCCTTTAGAGGTCACAGGGGTCACCTAAGACCAGCAGAAAACACATATATTTACGTTACTATTCATAACAGTAGCAAAATTACAATTATTAAGTAGTAAGGAAAATAACTTTATGGTGGGGGTCACCACAGCATGAGATGGTGCTGTATTAAAGGGTCGCAGCGTCAGGGAGAGTGAGGACTGCTGCTCTAGGGTTTTAGCTTCT